CCCGGCGGTCGTGAGGGCAGCACGGTGACACGGCCCGGCCGGGCCGCGCTGCCTGCGGCCTCCACCCTTGCAGATCCATTCACCCACTTATCTACCTGCCAGAGGCGCCAGGGAGGGGGTGCACGTGCCCCCCGGACGGGGCCATCACCGTCGGCGGCTTCTGCAGGTGTCCAGATTCAGGAGGCACCAGTCACTCGTGCTACCTACCTGTCTACTCATCAACCTGCCAGCCTGTCTACCCCCCATCCTACTTGCCTGCCTGCCCGCCTGCCTACTTATCTACCTATTTATCCACCCATCTACCTACCCACCCACCTGTCTACCTACCTATCTACCTGTTTATCCACCCATCTACCTACCCACCCACCTGTCTACCTACCTCCCTACCTAGTTATCTACCCACCTATCTACCTACCTGCCTATCTACCTGCTCACTTATTTTAATGAAACCAAAAAGAAATTCCCCAGGGCCCCCTTAGGGTGGTGGTTTTCAAGCTGCGGTCCCCAGACCTCTGGGGGCTGCAGACAGGCCTTTCTCACCCACCTTGCAGACAGTGATCAATCCAAGAGCAAGGGGATCCCTGTACCTATAGTCCAAAGGGGCCTGCATCTCTAAGTGAAATTTTCTTAGGGGTCAGCACATTAAAAAGGCTGAAAACTGCTGCCGTAGGGGAATCCAGTCCTGCCCCTGACAAAGCCTTTGTGCTGTTATGTGGTGGCCCCTCTGCCTCTGCCTGAGGAGGAGGCAGCAGGGATATTCCTGCCAGAGCCTGTTCATCTGAGCCTCCCCTCTCCCCAGCACTGAGAATGCCCTTTGCAGCCTGCTTCAGTCCTGGAGGGCCTAAGTGCAAGAAACGTGAGGCCTGACTTACCTCCAAGATGTTCCTCTGCTCCCATAACACCACAGAAATGCAGTAGAGACAGGCTCTGTGACATGAACTGACCATGACTCTGCAAAGTCGAACCATTTTTTCCCAGGGGTTTCCTGCTGGGAGCATATAACTCTCTCAGCTGCTGTGGGCACGGCTGCCTGAACAGTTCCCTCTGAACTTGTTGCTGTTTACTTATCTGATTGTTATTCTACATTAAATGGATTTAGGGGCCATATTTTTGCAGAGCTGAAGGACAAGGGGGTTAAAATCCAGAGTAGAGACAGCAATCAAAGATAACCCAACAAAGGGAAGGATTAGGGGAAGGATGAAAGCAAAGAGAAAAATACTTCTCTTGCAGTGAGCAAATCTAAAACTTGCTTTGGGAGCTGGGGATGGCATGGGGCATCGTTGCAAGCCTGGTTCATTTTGCAGAGACTATGAAGCCAGCTCTGAAATCTCTCTTGGCTTCCAGTTAACAGCCATTCTTAACAAAGGGAGGCAGGGTAATGCTGTGAATTAGGCCCAGGCCTTGGGCTTGGTAGGCTTGGCTTCCATCCTTGGCCCTGCCACCTGTTTCTTGAGCAACTGGGCAAGTTGCCACCCTTCTGTGCATTTCAGATGTGGCTACTGCTCTCTCTCGTCAAGCAGTTTGACTTCTATGAATAAAAAGCGGAGTGAAATATAAGAATAAAGTAGCAGTATTTTCCCTTCCTGGAAGCAGGCTTGTAGCCCTGGGTAGCTTTTTTTGCTGGCTTTAATAATTAACCCATTGCTCATTATTGCAATTCTGACAGACAGTCTGCCCTTGGCACTTGGCTGCGGCCACAGCTACTGGAGCACTTGGGAGTTCTGCTCATGGAAGAAAAAGAAATGTGCTGTAGTAAAACCCAGCCAAATGTTGAGAGTGAAGGAGGGTGCCTGCTTTGGGAAGGGAATACAGGGCCGACTGCAACTAGTTTATGAACTCCTTTGGAACAGCTGGGGAAGGGGAAGAGGAAATCTGTGGTTTGGTTTGGTTTAGATCAAGTAGGTAAGGATAATAAATGAGCATGAGGTAGAAGAGAGGGCTTCCACATCATGGAACCCACCGTAGCCAATACCTGAATTTGAAAGTTCTGGTCTAAGTGCTGGTGTGGCCTCCATGTGGCAAAAGGGTAATGAGCCAGAGCTGTGTTTTGTGCTAGAAACTAAATTGGTAAAGTCTGCATGGCGATGTTTTAGAGCATTGAGGCTAACAGAGACACTTGTATATCACAGCAGGGCAGAGGTATCCAGTCAGGGGTGGGCAATTACTTGGGCCCACAGGCCACATAGGGAGTTTTGGTGAGCTGTTACAGGCCAGGTCAGCACCCTGCCCCAACTCCTTGCACACCCCTGCACACTGAATCCTTGGCTGTTGCAAGGCTGTGTGGGCAGCAGACTGCAATTCTGCCCCAGGCCTCAGTCCCAAGATCCCGGGGTCTCCTCGGCTCTACCCACCCATCTTGCTTCTGGATGCTGCTCCCCGCTGGCCTGCAGCCGCATCCCAGCCACCAAGCCAAGCACAGCACCCTGCCTGTGCTTATCCTAACCTGGGCAGATGGGGTGTGGGGCAGTTAGGCCAGGTGCCTGGGCAGTGGGACCAGGTCTGGCAGCTGCAGCAACTGGAAGGAGCCACCACTGCTGTGGCTGCCAGAAAGCAAGTCTGGTTGCTGCACTGCCTGGCTCTGCTGCGTACCTGGGGGCAGTGGGACTGGCCACATGTGCCATGGCCCATACTGCCCCCTGCACCTGGCCTGGGCAAGACTGAGGGACCTGCTATTGGCCAGACAAAATCCCTTGGTGGGCTGGATCTGGCCTGTGGGCCATATTTTGCCCACTCTTGTATAAATTGATCTGTGGCTTGATGTTAGTTTGAGCTGTATGTCTTTGGGTTTTTTTGGTGGGCAGCCTTGCAGCAGGAGACTGACTCTCTCTGTCTGTTAATCTTATAATAGTCACTGCCGTGATGTCCAGCTGCCCTGCTGAAAATGGGGAGTGCCCCAACAGTGAAATGGGAAACGGAACCCATGGTATGGCCCCCTCTACACTCAGCATGTACACCCCAGAGGAGATGGTGCAGCAGATGAAGGAGCTGATTACAGAGAATAATGAGTTAAAAGGTAAATGCAATGGAGCAGTCTGATTCTGCCTTGCATGAGTACCTTGAGTTCTGACTTACTCCTTTGTTAAAAAAAAAGTCTATAGGATAGAGATCCTCTACTCCTTTGCTCTTCTGTGGTAATATTTTACACCCACTCAGTACTTATTATGCATTACTAATTACATGAGTTTCAAGAAGTGATACTTTTCAAAGTTTTAGCTCAATGCTATACATAGGAAATGCATTAGGAGAGACTCTTGGTATAGCCCAGAGAGAGCAACATGTAATTCATCACATGGGTTAGAAAATGTCAACTTCATATCAAACACCATTTTTTCAGCATCTCGCAAGATGCTCAGTCTTTGGAAGACCCTTCTCACTAAGATTCATCCTCTACTTGTTAATTCATTGAAATTAGAAAACAGGAATGGAAGAGATATGGAGAGTCATCTTCCTTCCCCACAACAGGATCAAGGAACCCCAAGTCATTCCTGACCAATATTTGTCTAATCTGTTCTTTAAAACCACCCATGAGGGAGATTCCACAAACTTAAAAATTTTAAAAACATATAAACTGGTCTTTTATGGTTTCAAGGCCCTCATAGCTCAGAGAGGTCTAAGAGGTGTCAGAGATTTCCTGAGTCATTAAGGTTCAAAGCTAAATAGGGTTAGGCATTGCAATCTGTGACTCCAGCTAGTAGGTCTCCCCTGAATTGAAACTGGTAGCTCAGAGGCAGTCCCCTAGGCTCCTGTGTAGCAGGGGGAGAGTTAGAGACCTCAAAATGAGCTCCACAAAAAACAGCACACTGAGCAAGGACCTGACTAAGCTGCCCAACAACAAAATGCTGAGGTGAAGGATGCTTTTTAATGCAGCCAGGACCCTCCTACTGCTTGGGAATTCACAGCCTGTACCCTCTGCTGAAGCTAGGTGTTTCTTTCCAAAATGGAGTAGAAAGTGACTCCTTTCTAATAAAAGTACAGATGGAGGAGGAAAAGTTGGTGCCCCTTCTGCACCTTCAACTCTAGTCTGACAGAACACTAATTCAAGAAGTAGTAGCCTTAGGTTCAATTCTGCACCCTGCTTGAGAGGATTCAGATCCCAAAAGAGTGCCTGGACCACCAACCTGCAGGCTCTTTTGGGGTGGGGGCGTTGTCCAGCCTCCCTTTTGAAGGTGTTCTACTGTGCCTGGAGTATGAAAGATTCACTAGGTCAGAAAATAGGGAAGAAAAGTGAAGAGTAAGCACAGCTCCCCCATATGGTTAAGCTAGTTGCTTTCCCAGATAGAGGAGGGTCCCGAATCCAGCTCTTGCACAGCCTGGGTGAATGCTCTACACATTGAGCCATCATTCAGAAAAAGACAGTGGTACCATCTCCTCTGTTCTGAAAGAAATCCATGTTCATCACTGCATTTTGCATGGTGCCCAATCTAGTAGGCATGTTCATGGAGGGCATTTATACACGTGCTTCGGGAGTTGCGGGGGGTGAGGGGGGAATGCTTTAATTAGAATGGCTCTAAGAGCGACTCTGATTAAAGCGCCCAGAGCGTCTTGTGTATCAGTGTCCCTGCGCTGAAAAATGGCAGCGGGGGTTCTTTAACTAAAGTTTGTTGAGCAAGCTTTAGTTAAAGTGCCCCCACCGCCGTTTTTCAGCTCAGGGACATTAATACAAGAGATGCTGGAGTACAGTAATTACCATGCTTCAGGACTTGACTAATCAAGTAATTACAGTGCATTGGAGCAGCCTTGCTGAATGTATATAGGTGCCCGGATTGCCTTCAGATGAGAGGAACAAACATGTTCCAGAAAACGTGGATTCCCCACAGAGCTGGGTGCTCAACCCCCACGAGCTGTGTTATCCAGTCTGCAGAGCTCCCGACGGGTCTCAAAATTTGAGCGGGGGATAGGGGGGACGTGGGGGTGGAATGTGACTGTGTTAATTACCACTCCCCAGCTGCCAAATTTCTGGACCCAAGGAGAGTCCTGTAGGCCAGATGACAGCATGGCCCCATGTACTAGATCAGGCAGTTCAGGGTCCATTCTGGCTTGTGGGACTGAACCCTGCATGCTGACCGTGTATGGGAATCGGCCTATGGGGCCAAAAGGTTGAGCAGCACTGCTGTGTGGGATAAACACTGAGCTGTTCAGCCCTGCCAGTACATTGGAGGTATTTCTGAACATACATTGAAGCAAAACTTTAAGTATTTCAACATCAAGAAGGGCCTATCTTTGAGTCTGTCAGATGTTTCCATGTAACTAAAAATATTTGTCTTCATGTGTCGACATGGAATTTAAGGCTGAAGACAATATGTTGAGTCCTGGGCAACACTGTCTTTAGTATAAAGGATACTTTTTTTTCTTGATTTATGATTTTTGTGAGGGTAAGAGCAGTTCGAGGTCCTTATCTGTAGTTATTAACTTTTTAAAGGAGAAAGCTGTTTTTCCTAACATTGTACCTGAGACTGTGGGATGGACTTAATACCAATGGTCAGTTTATAGTTAAAGTAAAACAGGGCTGTTGTCTGTCAACAGAAAACTGGCTAGATACAAGAGAATGGGGAAACTAACTGTACACACTGTGTTTTTAACAGCACAAAATTAACTAGGGAAAAAGTAGCAGTGATCTTAAGTAAATTCGGGATGTTTTGAGACAGAAAAGTGACTTTCAGGTTGGCAGTCTCACTCCAATTCAGAAGTCTTTGGAGGTTAGACATACAATCCCTGACTATGTCTAATATAACAGGTATAGTATAGTAATAGTTATCACTGCTGTCATATTATATTACTGTTATACTATAGTAATAGTTATTGCTGTTTGCATTGTAATATCTTAGCCCACAAACTCTAGTTTCCTTTGGACTGATCACTTTTTTAATTTTAAGAAAAAACTAACACTGCCCTTGAATACGTGTTCTTCATACCAAAGTCAGTGGAAGCTGTGTTTAGATCTGAGGGTATAACTGGATGCTAAATAATCTTCTGTACAGAAGATTAAAATGTCAAGATTATCCACCCAAGTTAGAGGGGAAGGGGCAAGTTCAAGAACATGTCTGATTCTCTACTGTCTTCATCTTTTCATTGTTATTGATGCTAGCACGAATTAAGCGTAGAACTCTCCCATTCTCCTGGGGTAGTTTTGCATCCACATTGTGCAAGTGTCAGTATTTTCCCTCCAGGTGCAAGGCAGAGAAGTGATCTCTGTGCCCTGGCATAGCAATAACCCATAGAGATAGAACAAAGTTGTGCTTTAATATTGGTAATAATAATCTTTGTTAAAACACGAGAGGTCTCCCAACAAAATCAGCATCCTTTTGTGTTTCCTGTTTTAGTACATATGGTAAAGGAATGCCTGCTTCAGATCACTGCCCAGCTAAATAAGTTCTGCTTTTCCTTCTGGCCCAGCAGCCTCCTGTATCGGGGCCAGATATCAACATACACTGATGTTTGTGTGTTTGAACACTCTCTAGAAGCCATGAAACTGCATAACCAAGCGATGAAGGATCGGTATGAGGAGCTCTCTGTATGGCGAGAGAAACAGAAGGAGGAGCGTGAGTTTTTTGAGTCCAAGTTCAAAGAAGCTAAAAACTGCTTACAAGCCAAGTGTGTTGAAAATGAGGAGCTGAAGAAACAACTTCAAAACTTAAAAGAGAGAAAGAAAGAGCCTGAAATGGTAATTTAAGCACCATCTATTTATTCAACTCTGTAGTTTTTTTAAGGAAGGAAGCATTCATACCACTATCATGCTGTACATTTATTTAATGTTCTGCAAAGATAACTGACTCCTTTCAGCTTCGGGTGTGTTCCACAACTCTGAAAATTAAGTCACAGGAAATAATCAGAAGGTGAAGAGTTTCAGATGAGTCACTAGCTTTCTAGTCTCTGCTTTGCTATTTTTTTTGCGGGGGGGCAGTTTCTCACTTTTAACTTTTGAATTTTATTTTCTAGGTAGTTTCTGTTTCCTGTGTACTCATGCTGTGCTCTTGTGTTTGGGTTTTCAATATCACATGAAAATATTTAACCAAAAAAACCTTCCATCTTGTTATTTTTAAAGTCATGAAAGTAATTCTGTTCTTATTCAGTCAAACTTTATCCCACAGCACTCATGTTTGGAGTCAAACTAAACCTTGTTTATCCCTGTTTGTAATTTAGTGGTTGGTAATGGGGCATTGAGATAGAGCTTGGATGTAGTTTTTAGTGTCATGCTAGAGGTTGGTAATGAAGAATCCTGTTCAAAATCCTGCTTCATGCTCAAATTAGGTACTTGAAGAGAGATTTTCTTCTTGACATGTTTAACCTTTATTAAATTCATGCTTTCAGTCCTGAAGCAATCTCACAGTGTTAGGGATGCAGATTCTATGTTCTTGGGGACAGATTATCCTGCATCTGCCCAGTACAGCATCTTTCCATGAAGACTCTGGTTCTAGCCAGTCTTGGAGGCAAGATACTGAGTGTATAGATGGATTGTGGCCTCTACCGTGTAAATCTCAGGGGTGAGCAAAATCCAGCCCGTGGGCCAGATGCAGCCTGCCAGGCTGTTCTATCTGGCCCGCAGGGCCCTTAAACAATTTAGAAAATTAATATATATCTGCCCCTGGCTGCCTGTAATGTGGCCCTCGATGGCTTGCCAAAACTCAGTAAGCAGCCCTCTGCCCGAAATAATTGCCCACCCCCAATGTAAATGCTGTTCACCTGAGTCTGCTGACATGCTCCGGAAGGAGAAATTTATTGGTGAGGCTGCTCTGGGCTTGTCCCTGGTGCCTGCTATCAGATCAGATGAAAGCCCATGGTTCTTGAGCAGGTGCTGGGGATGAGCTCAGACCAGAAGCAAGTACTGCTGTGGGTAAGCTCCTGAGTTTGCGAAGTTATATCTCCATTGCAACATTTATTGCTGAGGAAGCAAACCTATTCATTTCACTTCTTAAACCCTTTTCTAAATAGCACTGTCCAGTCGAGGCTGGCCCCAAATTATTATTTTTTAAAAATCTGCCATGGAGAGGCACGTTCCTTGACTTTGATTAGGTTTTTTTTTGTTTTTCTGTGGAAACTTTGTTCAAGAAAGCAATCCAATATTCTCAAAACCACACTTGCAAATTTAGTCTTGCAGCATTTTGCTGGTGTAGAAGAGCAGACTAATGATGAGTCTGTTTTAGTTGTCTTCACCTACAGAGTTGAGAGAGAAATCCAGATTTTCAGGAATTCTTTCCATGTAATCAATCTCTGCTGGAGATATCATGGTTTTTAACCTGACAAAATGTCATTTAAGCCAGGACTATTCTCCCTTTGAAAGGAATTGTCCTGATTCTAGCCCAGATTCCTTTGAGAGAGAGAACAAACCTGTCCCTATTTCTCTCGCCCTATCCTTTTACTTTATCTTCTTTTTCAAGATAAATTGTAGGCAGATGATCTCATCTGCTTTAGTTGCCATGGGTCACTTATACAGCCTGTGGCCTCCACAGGCTATAAACTCCTAGTGCTTAGATGAGTTTTGAGAGAGAAGCTCCTTGGCCTACTTCCTTGTCCTTTGTACCCTTCATCATAGTGTCCAGATGCTTAAAATAGTCCTGCCTGCACTGAGATTTGCTGCCCTGAGAGGCCATGTTAGAAGACACTCATCCCACTGGCTTAGTTAACTAAACAACACAGTTGGGCCTAGCAGCGTAAAGAGCAGTGAACGTTTAAGTCATGGGCCTAATTCTCCTCCTGCTTACACTAGGGTGGAGTAAAGTTACTCCTGCTTTATGGAGACATCTACAAGAGGAGTATCAAGGTTTTATTTCCAGATTGTGTTACAGCCTTGCAGGAGATAGTCTCATGGCTGAGTAACCCAGTTTAATGCAGCATGATCTCATTGATAGGGGCAAGCCCAGAGCAGTTCTTAATAGTTGTAAACTGGATTTTTGGTGCCTAATGGGATTTTAGTAAATGAAAGGGCATGTAGAATGCTGTTGTATTGTGTTTTGCCTCTGATTCTTGGCTAGTTAATATATTGTGTATTTGGCTTCTGCGCCTGGAAAGGAACTGGCACAGCTGAAGACACAGGTGACACGGCTCCAGGCTGAGAAGGCAGATCTGGTCGCCATCATTTCTGAACTGCAGCTCAAGTTGAATATCGCAGGGGAGGACTCCTTTGTTGAGATCAGGATGATGGTAAGTAACAAGCCTTTCACAGCAAAAGGAAGCTGTTTTGTCCAGACAAGGCTGCATATTTTTGCTTCAGGGGCTATCAGTTGGCCTATATTAGGAATAGTAGCCATTGGGTTTAAGATAATGGGTATTTACTGTAATAATCCCTACTAGCAGTTACAGAGATTGCACAGGTAATTCTCATAGTGTTGAAAATGTACCCTAGAGTGATTCATTTTTATACTAGAAACAATGGTATGCACTAGAAAGGCAAGAAGCACAGGAGACTTTTTACCACTATTGCATATAGGAAGTCTTTTTCCTGGGCTAAAATCCATCAAACCTCAAAGTGGGTGAGTGGCGAAGTGACCAAATTTGTGGATGATAAAATTATTCAAAGTGATAAAGACCAAGGCAGCCTGCAAAGAACTACAGAAGATCTGGCATGATTGAGCAAATAGGCAAATAAATGGCAGATGAAAGTCAATGTAGATAAGTGCGAAGTGATGCAAGTCAAGTCGGTCCCGAGGCTACTACAACTGTTGGGGCACCTTAGATGCTGTAACAACCTTCCTAGGTTAGTTGAGTTGCTTTATATATTAGTGATTCTTTGGGCAAAGTGACCTGGCAGTGCCCATGTCCTCTCCAGGTATGGAGCTCATCTGCCCTTTGACAGGTCCCATTTTTAGTCATGCTGGGTGTTCACCCCCACTCCCCCTCCACCCTCACCCAGGCCAGCCCATTTGGGACACTGTTTTAGTTGCCAAGAACCCAACCATGAAACAGGCTGTACTAGTTCACGTGGTACCAGATAGCAGACTGAGAGAGGCCTGGTCTGACTTTATGCGGGTTCTGTATGTGCGAATTCACTCTTATGTGATGATCCTTTTTCTACCAAAAATGTGTTATATGCAAAGTAAATTCACCCTTATGCTGTCAGTGTGGTGGAAGCCCACAGTCGGCTGCTTTGTGCAGTGCACTGTGGGAGTGATGCACACCAAAATATAGTCTCCTGTGTGGATCTGTGCTCCTCGCTTGTTGTCTGCGACGTGTTTCTGTAGTTGCCATCCCCATTATAATAGTGCCCTGTGCTTGTGTGTACTGTCTGCTCTTGGCGAGTACCAAAATTGTCTTGTAAAAGTGGGAGAAATGGGTCTGGGTATCAGTAAGGTCGAGGTCTTGGAAACCTTATTCGTTACATTGTAAAGTAGATTCCCTTTATGTGAATTCGAGTTATGCACAGTTTTCCAGGAATGCGTGTACAGCAAAAAAGCGAGGGAAACCTGTATGTACGTTATGATGAACTCTGCATTAGCTGTTATCACACAGGAAAGTTCACTAAAAACATCTGCTCGGTGCTCAGCAGCCATCGAAAAGGCAAACAAAATGTTAGGGATTGTTAAGGAAATTGTAAACAAAAGTGAAAGTATCATCATGCCTCTTCATAAATCTATGATGTGTCCACACCTTGAATACTGTGCCCAGTTTTGGTCCCCATACCTCAAAAAGGACAGAGAAGGGCAACAAGGATGTTTAGTGGTATGGAGGGCCTTCCATATGAGGAAAGACTACAGAGGCTAAGCCTATTCCATTTAGGGGTCATAAACTAGTGGGTAATAAGTTTTAAACTAACAAAAGTAAGTTCTTTTTCACACAGCATGTAATTAATGTATGGAACCCATTGCCACCAGATGTTGTGAAAGCTGACAGTTTAGCCAGATTCAAAAAGGAATTGGACAAATGCTTGGAGGAAAGGGGCATCAGTAGCTGTTGATCATGGGAGACAGGGGTACAGCCTCTGAATCAGAACTTCCCTAGACCTTAAATGCTGGAAGCTGCAAGTGAGAGGAACCATGGAAAAAGCCCCTGGTCGTACCCTGTTCCATCTCCCTTTCAGCATCCACTGTGTGACACAAGATACTGGGCAAAATGGGCCTATGGTTAGACTCAATAAGTGAGTGGCAGTCCGTATGGTCTTATTATGTTCTTATGACCTTGGCCACTTTCATGGTAACAGTAAGAAGTATTAGCAATGTGAAGTTGAGAAGGTTCTTGATTAAGCCCCATTCACTGAGTTTCTAGATTTATTGAGGAAAGCTGCAAGCTGGGTGCATGGCCCTTGTCTTTAAGTTGGAAGGTATTGTGTTCTGGATTAGTAAAGAAAAATGGTCCTGTATGAGAGGGCAGGAGAGGTACTTACTCAAAATCATCTTTGATATTAATGACTTTTGCCAGTTACTGCCTGGTTTCTAACTTACTCCTTATGGGTTAGTAACTAGGGAAGATGGTTGGGAGAGCCACTGTTCACCATCTGAGTAAGCAGGGTACATCAGAGATTTCACTTTAAAAATTTTCAAACTTGAGATGGATTTCCAAGGCTTTGTGTACTTTTCTTGAGCAGGTGCAAGGTTTCCTTACCTTTCCCTGAATTTTAAAAGTGAACGACATAGAAGCATGCTCCCTGGCTGGATGAAATTTGAAACTACCAAAGCTAATACTCTTCTCCTTTAACAGGAAGGAGAAGTGAGCAGAGCTTTAAGAGAAAATCAAGATATTAATAGCCAAGGAACGAGTGACATGGCTGCCTTCATGTATGTGGATTCTGGTTCTATTGGGAGTCTGCCTCTTTTAGACATTTTAAAGAAAATTGTCAATCTGATTAAGATGTATTAGATACTGTGCCTGGGTGCTGGACTGCCCACTCCCACTCCCCATTTGCTGAACCTTTACTCTTCATAGATTTAGACAGCTAATACTATTAAGGTTTCCAGCTGGGAGGCTGCCCAATTGAACAGCAAGCACCAGCTTACAGAATTACAAAGGGCATGACTGCTGGATTTATGGTTTGGCCTTCCCCATTGCATGGGAAGATGATACACACAAGCCAGTGTGATTGGAGGTGAACAAGTTGCGTTCCATAGACAGGCTTTTCTTGCGCTCCTGTTTCCAGGACACGCAATAGTTTATGGCACTGCTTCACTCAGCACACCATTAAATACTTGTTAGCCAATTAGTATTATGGTCAATGATTAAGATGGACGAGAGAAGCTCTGGTAATTTGACCATGAGCCAGGCTTCACTCATGCAAGATGTCATTTGCATTGTGTTTAACATTCAGTGTTATCATATCCTATATTCTCTGGGTTCCTCTTATCTGGTGGAGCTTAAATGTACCACTCTGGCCTTATTTGCTGTGAGTTACAGTAGCTGTATTTCTGGTGTTCCTAAATCTGCAGCTTTGTTCCACAATAGAAACCTTAGAAAAAGACAGTTATCAGATTCAGAGATACAGGATCCGGCTTGCACTGAAGTCAAACACAGAATTAACAATGGGCACAAAAATCCCTTGGCACTGCTGACTGAAGTATGGGTGTTTGTTTGCAACATCTGACTGAACAAAACAGCCCTGCCAGTGGATGTGGGATTCTGACCGTTTCATCTTAAACTGCAGAGTGAGCTTATAAGCAACTGCCATCTCCTGTTACAAAAGCTGGATACTTTTCACTATTATGCCACATGATTTCTGTGTATTCTGTTATACAATACATTCATTCTTTATATACGTAAATAAAGAATGTGGTGTGTGAGAGAGAGAGAATATGTGTGTATTTGCATATACGTTCTTTGTATATGTGTTGTGTGTCATGTATGAACAGCCAGGCATGAACTCCCATGCTACATGGAATGGGAAGACTGTGTCGTATCCCTGGAAAGGTGATTTTTTCCCCCCTTTTATTTGAAGTGAGGTCTTGGATTTGATGTCATGGACTGCCTTTCCACTAGCATCATGTGCCTTCAAAAGAGCATGGAGATAATATATTGCAGAGTCCAGGATTCAAAAAAGACTATTTTTAATCAAAATTCCCTGTTTTTAATTTTTTAAAATGCCATTTTAGCTGCAGCAGGGGAAACAGTGCTGTGTAGAGTTGTGACATTTTGCATGTTTCCTTGAAGGGGTAAAAGGAGAGTGGGCGGGGGAGCTGTTTTGTGAAGCTCTCCCTCAGGAATAACAACACTTTCAGAGCCCTGAATAAATTCATGAATATTGTTTAAGAGTTTGCTCTTTTTGCATAGACCTATTTAAATGCTAACTGCTTTTCTCCACTCCTGGTGCAAACTCTTGTGGAACAACTGCACATAACAAGCTGTACTTAGGTTCCTGGATCTGGCACTTTAGGGGACTGCCACCCCTTTAACTGTTGGGCAAGGCTCAATTTTTGAGGAAGGTCAGTTTGAGGCACACACTATTCTGCAAGAGGGCTAGTGCCTGGTTCCATCTTAATATAGGGTCCCCCTCTCAGTTTCTCAGGCTTGATAATCTGGTGCACCCCAAATCACTAGTCACTTTTAAAAATTGCTCTGAGTCCTAAGGGACTTCTGTACTGTAGTTAATTTGTAACTAACAGTGGGTTTGCTCATTACAGGGACAAATCTATGGATGAAGTGAAGAATTTGGAATCTGAGGGGCTCACTGTCAGCCTGCTGCTTCACTGTCTCAGAAATGAGACTCAGCAAAGGGAGAGCCTTGAAAAGGAGCTTCAAGAGCACAAGGAGAGGTATGAAATGGGTACACTGCCATTCAGAATAGTTTTGGTTGCTACCTGCCTGCAGCCAGATCTTGGATGTTTGTGTGATCTTCGTGGCAGTGCACAAGATGGAGTTTGAACAGCTCTGCAATCATGGTATGTTCCTTGGAAATGACTTTTCCCCCACTCCACCCTCTCCCAGCAAGGGTAATGGAGAAGAAAACTTCCCTTTCTTGTCTTATTAACTTCCTTAATGCACAGTCCATTGGGATGCATTTTTGTTGGCCCGGCTGGGTTTGAACTTGCCCCAAATTAAACCAAAACTATGATGTGAATATTTGAGAATATGTTTCACTCTGTATGTTGCTCTTACAGCTTTGCAGTTGTTCAGTGGATTATGCCATTCATGTGATTCACTTTCTGTGGAGGTCTTGGGTCAGTCACTCTGTAGAAAATGAGGATGATCGTACTTGTGTTTCAGGCTAAATTCAGTCATATTTCCAAGGCTCTTGGATACATCGTTAAGGAACTCATTAGGAGTTCCTAGTTTTAATTCCAGATCCTAAAATGAGTTTCTCAGTGAGGCCTGAATGAGGGCCTAACTCTGCTAAGTAGACTGGTGTGACTCTCAAAGTAGTGGAATTTCCTTTGTCTGAGCAGAAGCTTCTAGTTAGTAAGACCTGTCAGACATCTTACACTGTGGCAGCTAAGGGAACTTAGAACTGGCTCTCAGTGGCCTTCTAGTAGAGATAACAAGCATTACCTGCATCTAAGGGACTCTCAGAAAAGTGTTAAAACCTCCCTATCTTTTGAAAATATTAACTGAAAAAAAATTGATTTAGAGCTAATCTTTGGAAGAGAGAAATATATTTATACCCATAGGGAAAGGTCTTGGAGAAACCGTTTTGATTTACACTGGCAAATGATCCCTATAGGCAGTGATCCCCATAACTGAATTTCACTGCCTTTCTTTACTGTGAGCTTGTCATATAAGTACATAAGTGTTTGTCATATAAGTAATATGACAAACTCATATTACGTGTATGACAGAGTAATTATATAATATAATATACTTTATAATAAGTGTAATATTATATATTTATATAAAAGTAATATAAGTGTACAGGCTTTGAGCCAAATTTGCTTTAGTTTTCCATGCGCTTATGGCTTTGAGTTTTGACTCCTATTGGATGTTCTAATGACAGAGTATATTCACATCAACAGTGCACGATTCATGAGTACTACCCATTTTTCTCAGTATCTCCTATCAAATGCACGTTGAGACTGACATCACTGGATCTTTGTGTTTCTCAGACTCCTGAAGCTGGAAAAGGTGGCTAGTGATCAACTGGAGAGTGGGACTCAAACGGAATGGGAGAACGAAGAAGACAAAAGCTCAGAGACGGTAGGTGCCAGTTATCTGTTGGGGAGTGACACAATACATAGATCCTCAGCTGTGCCCACCAAGTATGGAGCAGAGCTCAGGAACTGGACTAAAAAATGCTCTTTGAACTCTTCTGACTAGCACATGGTCCTCTTAAAAGTTGTTCTGAATTACTGTAGCATCTAAAGACCCTAAGAGATGGTTACAGCAGCCAGATATCAATGGGTCATGGGAAATCCCAGCCATGTCCTATTTCGGCTGACCATGCTCACTGAAGAGGAGATTTAATTGTATCTATTGACACAAATGCCTTTACTTTCAGGTGATCTCTTCATGGCTGGCTATACAGGCTTGGAGCCACAATGCACAGGCAGTGTACTATAAAGATCTTGATATTTAGAAAGAGGGTTATTTCTCTCCCAGAAATCATGCAGTTTTGACGAGCTACATTGTCCCAAAGCCACACCCCTATCTTGAATGCAGATACAGTCATAAATAGTCCTAATTTTTAATTAAGGCCTCAAATTCATATGGAGTCAGCAGAGAACAAAGCAGGAGGCTTTTTGAGCAGGCTAACAGGTTGGCATCTGAATTCTGCCCAAGCTGGAACCTCCACACTGCATATTCAGCCCCAAGTACAGGGAACTACTCTTATCCAGTCTGAAGGTGACAAACACAGACTGTTTTGTGCAGTTCTGGCCAGATGTTTTGTCCAACTACTGATCTTATTTGGGCATCTGACGTCTTCCTGATGGCACTGGTTGCATCTCTGGAAAAAAGAAGTAGACAGCTGGGTTTCCTCAGTGTGCTGGTGTTGGCAGCAGGGCTCATGTTGTTCCACCATGTCTCCAAGCTGTCTCTTCTCACCAGTGTAAATATTGAAAAAGAGTGGGGGAGTGGCATTGATCACGTGGGGACTCTGCAGGTGAAAGCCCTTGGAGATGAAGAATTACTTCTGTCACCACTCTGGATCTGGCTGATGGCATCATAGTACTGTATCTACCTTTTTAAGCTATGTCATGTAGTCAGGGTAACAGTAGCTTGGAAATGGCCTCCATCCATATTCACGAGAAGAGGTGTTGTAAAGGACCCCTGTATTTGTCACTGGGCCATGTCCTAGTCTTAACTACAAAGTGCTCAAGAAGCAGTGTAGTTAAATGATGCTGAAATTTGGGTGTAGCTACTTTCTGTTCGTAGGCAGTACCAGGAAGCTGGAGGTAGGGTGTTATCTGAGGGGAGCTCTCTACATTGTGTTGACATTTTTTCTTTTTTGAGATGTTGGGTAGCCAGTTTTTCTGTGAGGTTGACAGACATGCTTCTCAAGAATGTTTTGACTGTACCCACTTCTAAGGGAAATACATACATTTACTTTGGCTAAGTACAGTGTTCAAATGTTACCGGAGGCATCTAGCAGTCTTGTCCATAGTAAGTAACATATGCTGATGGTGTTGTCTTCACTTTTAATGCCATGGCCATTTTCTTCTCATACTTGGTTTTCTGCAAAGAAACATGACAGCTCCTAACTTCTGACTGGTACATTCATCTTTGAGCCTGAAATATGGAATCTGATCAGATTAGGTAGTTCACTATGAAATAATCCTGATGTTGGCTGCTGTTTTGTGGCTGTGATGGCAGAAGGATAGAAGAGTCTTTTGTATCTTTTATTGAGGTACATTGTGCTGCTGGAGGATAGAATTGGAACTGGGCTTGTAGCCTCTGCCCTTGGTCTCTCTCTGATAGTTTTGGAAGAGATGGTAACAGCCATTAGTACGTAGTTGTGTCCTACAGTTTTCCAACCGCCTTGACTGTTCCACGCTTGTAGAGTGAGATGAGAGAACAAATGCTGCAGAACTATTTCCTTTTCCCCTTGTCTTTTCCTAGGACCTTATAGCTTGTGTTATATTGTGTTATGATGGGTCTGACTGAGTCTGCAGTGCATACATAATTCAGTGTATTGTCCAAATTCAGATCGTGAAAGGTGCTGGTTTTGTTAGACCCTGCAATTAGTAGGCCTCTGAAAAAATCATCCTCCAGTGACAAGTATTCCATCTGGTTTACAGTCAAGTGGATAAACAGCTCACGGGAATAGACAGCTCACTGAAATCAGTGTTTTGTCTTGTTCTGTTTTGTTTGGCTCTAATTGTATTTTGCAGTATTGTCTGCATGCATGTTTGGGGATGACTAAACTTTATGGTCAATTAGCTTGAGAAAAGTTTTACCAAAATTTGTGGTTTGAAGGCCAAATGAGAACCTGAAGCCAGAGGGTCTCCTAAGGAAGATACTCTCTTACAGATATCAGTAGTTCTGCAGGAAATCATTCATCTTCTGGGTTTGTGCCACAGATTTCTCTAGAACCTGGAAATAAATGGAATTACTGTTTGTTCAACCCTTTCAGAAATATTGTAGCTAAAGGCTTCCTGTTATGCCACACCAATATGTTTTATATCAAAGAATGTAGTGTGTGTGGAAAGACTGCTTGGGTTGAGGTTTTTTGCTTGGGTTCGGGTACAATGCAAACAGCTGATAAAATCTAGCAACTCCCTACCTCCTGCTACAGCCCTCAGACGAAAATCGAAGAGGCATGAAAAGGGGGTATTCCTCATACTGAGCCAGCATTCAAGTCCCTTCTGATGTTCTACATCTGCTGTCACCTACATGAAAGTAGCGTATTGATGAGAGCAAGTTTCAGGTCTGCTTGGGGATAACTTGTTAGCCTATAAAAACAAGCATATTGTATCAGAGGCTGATTCCAATCACTAATTAAATCTGGGGTTTTTTTGGGTGGGGTGCATCTTTAAATTGTAAATTCTTTCAGATGGGAACATACCACCTTTTCTGCTTGAATAAGACTTAGTATATTATGGCCACTATTGTAAATTTTATAAGATGCTTGTATCTGTCAGATATTGTAGGGAATGTTTTTTTTCCTCCCCATTTTACAAAAGTTTGGGATGTTCAAAATTAGGATTCAACTATAGCAGGAATGCTTAGTAGTTGTGAAGCCTTTGACAGGGATTCCCTTATTAAACACAGAGCCTACTGATGTTGAAAGTTGTGTGCTGTTCTTGCAAGAGAACAGTTATTGCCTGAGGTAAGCCTCTGACTGGTTTGTAGTTATTCTGTCTTACATTGTCTGTGTGTGTGCAATTTTTCCTTCTCAATAATAGGTTGGTAGTGAAATAGAAACTCTGAATCTGCAAGTGTCTGCTCTGTTTAAAGAACTCCAGGAGGCTCACTCTAAATTGAAAGAAGCTGAGCTGATTCAGAAGAAGCTTCAAGAAAAGTAAGGCTCAGGTGTTTGATTGTACCGGTGCTGATTTTCAGCATTTATAGCATCTTTCTCCTTTGGAGCTCAACTAATTATATCAACATTAACTTCCAAGCTCTGTGCCAGTTCTTGGAGGTGGGAATATATTAGGTGGGGAATCAGAATCACAGAAACATGGTGGCTCTTATAAGGACTGAGACAGTATAGTGAATTGGACAGAACAGGAAATCAAACCCAAAAGGCCTAGTTTTCAGATTCAGTGGACGCATCTATATGAGGCACTAGAAGCTCAGACTAATTCTACTGTGCATTATCACGTCATGGTGAAAGCTGTACTAATGTGCAGTAGAATTAGTCTACAGTGCATTGGCATCATGTAAAAAGTATGCACTGGCACTCCTGTGCAGTACCACTGATTATGGTGTGTTTAGTACCTGCTGTTACAGGTACTAACTCGTGCACATGTAGACGTGTCCCATCACACTGTTCTGAGGCTAAAGGGGCCCTGTAAAACGAATGCAAATTTGCCCCCCCAACCCTACCTGCAAACAGATTTAAATTCTGGAGAAAAGCCCAAACGGCCAAATCTAGCCTTATTCAAATGAACTCTTGGTTCTTTTGAAAATCAGACTTATTTAGATGCATAAAAAGAGGCTATCAATGTAGGCACTTATTTTTTGAACTTTCAGACAAGCTCCAATCTCCTTGTGAATGTATAATCTGAGGAAACGAGGCTTTGGTTCTGTAGCTTTATTTTCTGATGTCTGTGTATGGGTTTTTCTTTCATCAGTCTTCATAAAACAAGCTTTGTGGGTAAATTTAATTACAACTAAAGATTTGCTTTGTATGATACCCATTATGGCAACTCCGTCAAGAGAGTGCGATGGGGAAATATAAGCACTCTCCTTTTTTCTTCTATCAGGTGTCAGATTCTTGAAAGAAAAAGCTCTGCTATGCTGACAGATCAGGATGAGAAGCAGCAGCTCTTGTACACCATCAAGAAGCTGGAGCTGCAGGTGGAGAGCATGCAGTCAGAAATTAAGCTGGAACAAGCCAAAACACAAGAAGAAAAGTGAGTGTGAAACAGTGCTGTGCTTTGAAGAAATGGGGTCAGGGTAAAGGAAAAAACTATGGAGAAAAAAATGTCCAAAATGGAGCTGAACCTCAAATATAATTTCTGTGTGCGCTCATATGTTCTTTTTCATTAAACAGCCATGTGCTGCTGGAGGTGAGTTGGTGTTGGAACTCCTCAATCTGGGAGGTTGGAGTCTCTGCAGTAAGCCCAAACTGGAGCTTCTCATGCAGAGTCTCAAATTTGGGGGAAATCAAGTTTTGAACTCTGCCATGTGATGATCTCTAGCATATCCAAACAAATGAGACAGATGCACAGGGAGAGAGACTTACAATGCAGTAGCGTAATTGGAGGTGTGTGACCAGGGCAACAGCTCCTGGAATCAATTTTGAGGGAGGGCAAGTAGAGCAGTGATAACTGCTGCTGCCCCAGCTACTGCCTCTGCCCTTGGTGCGAACGTTGCTTGTTACACCTCTGGTATACAACATAGAAGTGTAAAGCAAAGGATGTGATTGCAGCACGCAGCATGTGAATTGCACAACTGGGGAAGAAAAGGTGGCGTGAGGCTGAGATGAAAATACTGCGGGGTAGGGGGAAGCAGAGGGTGGAGCAAGCAGCCAGTCGGCAAAGAGCTTGACAGACAGTTCTCTGAGCCATAAAAAGTTCTCAGCTGGGGCTCATTCTGCTTCTGGTGGATTAAACCTGGGGGAAAGACAGGTTTGTTAGAGGTGAAAACAATGTGAAAGCGGGAACAGGTAGAATAATTTAGCAAAAAAGGAAGATGGTAGAGGGATCATTACAGACCTTTTTTTATTTATTTTTTCCCTCCCTCTCCTCCCCCCGCCACTCCCCTTCAACAGAACAAAATGTGCTGCCTTGCAGGAAGCCTACAGCAAGCTCCTTCCTGAATTCACTGATGCAGTGAGCACAGTTGAAGAACTGAAAAGCAAAGAGGTAATTTGGTCATGAAAAGAAACTACAGTG